GGTGACACAGTGCCTGCCAGGAACACAGTCCTCAGCACCACTGCCATACCTGGCCCCCACACAAGCCGGTGCCTCGCGATGGGACTGAGGGTGAGGGAGGGGCTGGTCCGGTGGGACGGAGGCAGCGGGGCGGGGGGGGCTGCAGGCAACAGGAGATGCTGCCACAGGTGGGGGTCCCGGACACCACCCAGCAGACAGGACAGTCTCCCGCCTCCAAGAAAGCCCTGAGACCTCAGGCCTGCCCCCAAAGCTGCACTATGCATGCCCTCTGCAGCCTTGCCTTGGGTAATGTCAAAGCACCCGCACCCCAGGATGAGACTCAGAGTCCCAAACCGCTCCTGCCAGCTGGGGCAGAAGGGTTCTGCCGGGTCCCCCAAATCAGAGAGTGAACCTGAGCTCCCACGCTCCTGTGCCAGGGAGGCAGAGGCCAGGTCCTGTCCCCCCGGGCCCACCCCTCTGCTGCAGCCCCTGCCCCCCGACAGAGGCGGGGGGGGTGCCTTCCCTGCAGCACGTGGGGAGAGCAGAGCACTGGGTGGGCCCCCAGCCCTCCCGTCTCCTCCCGCCTGGACCCAGGCAACCCCAGTGTCTTCCTCCTCTGCTGGCGCATGTGTGGCCAGGCACGCCCCACCCCCAAGCTGCACCGCTGGACAGGAGATTGCTCCTGACCATGCTGCTTCCAGCAAACCTGGGAGTTCTGTGAGACCAAGCTGACCCTGGCACAGGAACAGGAGGCCACTGTCTGCTGAGTGAGGGTGGCCCAGCCCTGTTGCCTCCTCGCACAAAATGGATGCCTGATCTGCTGCCTCCCCCACACTCACATTATGGGCAACCTCCTGGTATCAATAGCACGGCCTCAGTTTTGGGAAATATCCCAGCTTGTAAATGTTTATCTAGAGCATACCCTCGGTTTAGCACGTCCTCTGTGGTTATGTCTAAGCCTGATGTGGCAGCCACTACCTTGAGACACACGTAAAGGTTACGAGGGCCGGGGGGGCTATCAGCCGACGGACAGTACGTGACTCACCCCACGCCCCTGCTTGCCCCTTCCCCTTTCCTGCCTGACTTGGAGGGGGGATAAATCCCTGTGGGGTGAAACAATAAACAGAGATCCTTCACCATCTCCTGCATGACGGAGCCCTGTGTGTCTCGAGTGTTGCTTTCATCCTGACGGCCTTCCCCTGGCTCGGCCCCGCAGCGCCAGACGCGGCAAGTGGAGGTCCCACCAAGATCAGGTATGAGGGATTACCGGACAGGGCTCACCCGCGTATAGGCGGGGGGAGGATTGATAAGAATTAAGGGAATTTTGGTGCACCATGGGTAACTCTAGTTCAAAGACTCGGCTGGCCACCGAGCTAACTGAACTCCTTAGAAAACAAGGAACTGCTATTAAGTGTAATACCGCACTCGAGTTCATCACAGTGATAGAGGACGAGTTCAGAATTTGCGACTGGGAACAGATTAAAATCGACCACCAAAAGGCCCTCCGGGACAAGGGACCAGACAGTATTCCCGTGGCCACCTTCTCCCTCTGGAGATTGGTGAAGGATGCCCTCTCAACTACTCATGTTAGGGTCCAGGAGCAACTCTGCGACCTTCAGAAGACCTTTGGGAAAATTCAGGAGAAGGAAATGGAGAGCTCCCTACAAGGAGACCCCAATAGTGACCCCGTTGAGCCCAAATATGCTGAAGTCCCAGAATCCCCTAAGACCGAGAACCCGAAGCATACCATTTATAGTTTAAATGCTCAGCCTCTCCCAACAGGACCGCGATTCCCTACCCTACCTTGATCTCTCAGTTGTTAATGAAGGCCAGGACCATAGGTCGAGCCCTCTTTGCCAAGGATATGGACATCCTGGCCCTTCCCTATTCTAGAGACATGATTGATAATCTGGTACAATATGACGATTCTTGGTGCTTATTCATTTGCTCCTTCAGGGGCCAAGTGACCCAAGCCTATCCCAAGCACAAAATTTTACAGAGCTTTAAGCTCTGTCCCATAATCTTCCCTAGGATAGTTAGAACAGTCCCCATTGCGTCTGCTCGAGTACTTTTTACAGATGGCTCTAAAAATGGCCGTGCAGTAGTTGTGGATGGGCAAAACGTCTATACTATACAGCTCACCGAGACATCAGCACAATTTGCCGAAGTCTCTGCACTGATTCTGGCCCTGCAAACCATTCCAGAGGAACCCCTTAATATTTACACCGATAGTGTTTATGTGGCCAACATCTTCCCCCAGTTGGAAACAGCCCCCCCACATCGGGGAGGGCTCAAAAATTTTGTCCCAACTATAGAACCTGCAAATGCTTATCTGGGCTAGGAGGGACCCCCTTTTTGTGAGCCATATTAAAGGGCATTCTGGCCTTCCGGGGCTCCTCGCAGAGGGGAATGAACGAGCAGACGAAGCCACCCGTATGGTAATGGCATCCCTAGAATATGATAAAGCCATACAATTGCATAAAAAATTTCATCTTAATGCACAATCCCTCCGATTTCAAACAGGTTGCTCCAAGGCTGAGGCGCTTTCTATAACCACTGTCTGTCCCACGTGTGCCCCTTTCATACAGGTGCCATCCCTGGGAGTTAATCCCAGGGAACTGAGAGCCAATGACATCTGGCAAACAGATGTGACCCACACCAATTCGCTGGGCAATCGACATCATCTTCATGTTTTCATAGATACTTAGTCGGGCATGATCTTTGCCTCCTGACACGCAGGAGAAAGGACAAAACACGTCATAGACCATTTAACAGCAGCCTTTTCATACATGGGGACCCCTAGACAAATTAAGACAGCCTACGCGAGCCGTGCCTTTGATTCTTTTTGCAAAACCTGGGACATCTTGCACAAAACAGGCATCCCCTATAACCCCCCGGGACAGTCTATCATAGAGCGAGCACACCGACATCTCAAAACTTATATTTCTAAAACAAAAGAGGGTGAGATCTACCAAGGCTGTCAAGGGCCACAAGCACTCTTATCCACCACTTTATTTATTTTAAATTTTTTGTTACTTGATGATAAGGGCCGCAACACGGCCCAAAGACATTTCTCCGCCCCCGCGCCTCTCTCTCGAGGCCATGGTCAAATACTTTTGACCCTGGGAGGCACTCCTCCCTTTTCTCTTTTGTGTGTTGCAGCTCTCACTTTAGTGAAGAAGTAGCAGATCGCCAGAGGACCACTCCCCAACATCACTTCCCCCTCCAGAAGTGGACGACGAAAGACACAGCGTTTCGCCCTGGTCATCCCCCGTCCTTCCCCTCTCCACCTCTCCCTGATTCAAACACCTCTGGGAGTCACGCTGTGAATGCCCCCGGCCACCTCACCTTTGTGTCCCTTCCGCTAACCACAAAGGGATGCTCTGGCAAATCCTTCCTTCGAGGTTGTGCCCATGCCTAGGGTACCCAGAGACGGGCAACTTCTGCCACCGCTGTGCACACCTAAGACAGGGGTTTGGGCAACCCCCCGAGGACGGGTACCATGGCGGGGTGGCGGACGACCTAAGACAGGGACCCTAGAGCATCATATTTTAATAAGGGGAGTGAGATGTTGCCTTCTGGCACAAAATGGATGCCCGATCTGCTGCCTCCCCCACACTCACATTATGGGCAGCCTCCTGGTATCAACAGCACGGCCTCAGTTCTGGGAAATATCCCAGCTTGTAAATGTTTATCTAGAGTGTACCCTCGGTTTAGCACGTCCTCTGTGGTTATGTCTAAGCCTGATGTGGCAGCCACTACCTTGAGACACACGTAAAGGTTACGCGGGCCGGGGGGGCTATCAGCCGACGGACAGTACGTGACTCATCCCATGCCCCTGCTTGCCCCTTCCCCTTTCTTGCCTGACTTGGAGGGGGGATAACTACCTGTGCTGTGAGACAATAAAGAGAGATCCTTCACCATCTCCTGCGTGACGGAGCCCTGTGTGTCTCGAGTGTTGCTTTCACCCTGACGGCCTTCCCCTGGCTCGGCCCCGCAGCGCCGGACGCAGCACAGCCCGATTCCATAGCTGGGGAGCCCCAGGGAGGTGGACAGGCCTGCCAGGGGCCCCTCCAGACCCGTGTGACCACCAGGAGCAAGTCAAGCTGGCCATAGACTCACTTCCGGCCACCGGGGATGGCCTGGGCCTGACTCTCTCTTGGGTAAAGGGCGTTGGGGTCCCAGGCTGAGCTCTCACTGTGAGCAGAAAAGAGCTCTGCGAACTGAGGAGGGGGGCAGGCGCCTCACACCCCCGGCCCAGGCCAAGCCACCAAGCGGGGATCTGGGTGTCGCCTTCAGAGACAGGCCTGAAGGGAATGAAAAAGCCGGGGGTGGTGAGGGGTGCGGGCGACCTGTCCCCACACGGGCCCCGGGAGACTCAGCAGTGAGGGCGGCTCTCAGGGAGGAACCCTCTGGTGGGATGGCTTCTTCTGGAACCATCCACCAGGACCGCCCAGGGTTGTGGGGGCTCAGAGCCCCTCTGGGAGTCGCCCCCTGCTCTGCTCGCAGTCCCTTTCAGCCTGGGGTGGGCATATTCCTGCCCCCACTCTGCTGCCGCTCTCCCCGCGGGCCTGGCGCGTGTCCCTGTGGACAGGCCCAGAGCTGCTCGTTTGGGGCAACCTCCAAGTTTCCTGCCAATGAGAAATCTGGGGCTCCTGCAGAGGAGGGTGATTCATTCCAGACTCCCTCCCAACCTGGCAACGGGTTGCCCCAGAGCCCAGCCCCTTCCCCTAGGAGCTCCTTAATGTTCCTGCAGTTCCCTGCGCCAAAGAAGCCTTTCTCTGTCACTTCCCCGGGGCAGCAGTGGCCAAGCACCGTGAAAGCCGTTCTGTGCGGCCGAGGCTGGCACAGGGGCATTGCCCTCACTCCTTCCATTCCTGCCTGCTCTGCGGGGGTCCTTCGGGGGCTGGGAGAGGCCGGCATCTACCCAGGATGCTTTTCTGCACCTGTCCCTCCCTGTCCCCAAGCCCCCGTGGCTCAGAGCTGCGTGGGGCTCTGCGTGCCCCCAGCCCAGCACCTGCCTGCACAATGCTGTGGCCTTCTGGGATGTCCTCGGGGACGCTGGCCTCGTAGCTGCTCTGCAGGAAGATGGGCCGGTTGTCGTTCACATCCAAGATGGTGACGAACACGGTGGCGGTGCCCGTGCGCCGCTTGCCCACGGGGCCATTGTCTGTGTGTGGGGGGAGGGAATGGGTGTTAGCGCGCCTGAGGGCCTCCCAATCCTGGGTGTAGGCACGCTGCAGGGACCAGCCAGGGATATGCCCATCTGCCCAAGTGTGTGTGTCACTTCGGGATAGAAGTGACATTGGCAGAGGCAAACAGGGTCCGGCAGATTGTCACCAGGCGGTCCTCACAGCATGCTCTTAGCATCTCTATTTCACATGGGGTCCCCAAAGCACAAAGGTGGTTGATGGCGCCCCTTCCCCACAAAGATGCGGTCTGTTCAGTTCACCTGAGAAGGCGGAACTTCCTGGGAGAAGGGTTTTCTGGAGATGGGTTTGAGTTACGGGTCTGGAAATGAGCTCAGTGGCAAGCGTCCTTGTAAGAGCAGGGCAGGGGGAAGGGGTGGACAGAGCAATGGACAGAGGGAAAGGAGAGAGACAGGAAAGAGGGAGAGAGAAGAGGGCATGAGAGAGAGTGGGCTGCGGAGAGAAGGCGAGAGAGACCAAGAGACACACAGAGAGAGACGTGCAGAGGGAGTCTGCACCAGGGAGGCCACGTGACATCGGAGCAGGCATCGGACCTGCGTCCACAGTCCAGAAACAGCCGGAATGGTCAGAACCCAGGGACAAGGAGGCACCTCCCCTGGGGCTGGGCAGAGCAATGCAGCCAGACCAGACCTTCACTCTGGACACCTGGTCTCCAGATAAACATCTGCTTTTGCCCAACCCTCACGTCTGACGTGCCGCTCCGCAGCCCTGAAGTGTGGGGTTGAGCTTGGAGGCTGTGGGGCCAGGAGGGGGCCCTGAGGCCCGCCAGCCCCTGGGAAACAGGCAGGATGGCCTGCGCCTGGCCAAGCTTCTGCTGCTTCAAGAGCAAACACAAGCCCACGCTTTTTCTGCAGAGTGGGGGTGGGGGGCGGGCCACATCCGGCAGTGCTCAAGGCTAACTCCTGGCTCTGCACTCAGGAAGCACTCCTGGCAGTGCTCCGGGGATGGTGAGTGCACCATCTGGGATGGTGAGGCTCGAACTCAGGTGGGCTGCAGGCAAGGCAAGTGCCCGCCCAGCTGTGCTATCTCTGTAGCCCCTGTGCCTACACTCTGAAGTAAAGTCTTGTGGTTTTTCAACTCATGCGGACCACTCCTCCTTTTGGGGCACTGGAGGGGGCAAGGTCGTACCGACCCCCTGATGGGCGCAGCTCACTGAGGACTAAGCGTGAGGCATCCTGCCCCTCTGTTCCCCAAAGGGTGGAGAAGGGCCCCCTGTAGCAGGGCAGCTGTGTGCCGCTGCCGGAAGGAGGGGGGACTATGCCAACTTTGCATGTCCAGGGAGGCGTCGCCTAAGGAGGGGCGTGGGCAGAGGGGTTGGCTGAGGACCAGGGCTGACGCCATCCTACTTTCCCTGCAGAGGGGGCCACACCCCTCTTTGTCAGCAGTGCCATGCCTCAGCAGCCCATGACTGGAAGGTCCCTCCCTCGCTCCCTAACTCTCCCTGCCCCAGCTGCAGGGCCAGCGTGTGACTCAGATCCCTCCCCTGGGACCCCGCAGGGGCTCAGGTCCAGCCCCATCCGGGTTTAGCAGGAATCTAGCTAGGCGTGGGTTCTCCTCTGGCTCACGGCAGTGCTCGGCCCCGCTGGGGGTCGGCATCTGGTTGTCTGCCCTCCATGGGCGTGGGGCAGAGCTCTGGCTCCAGGAGGGCTGCCTGGCCGCAGGGAGGACATCAGGATGGATGTCTGTGAGCAGGATGTGAGTGGGTGGGGCACAGACACGAGTGGACCTGGCATGGGCATGAGTGGGCAGGGCATGGGAGTGAGTGGGCGGGCGGGGTGTGGACATGAGTGGATGGGACATGGGCATGGGTGTGAGAGCTATGAGTGGGTAGGGCGTGGGTGGGTGGGATGTGGGAGTGAGGGTTGAGTGGGTAGGGCATGGGTACAAGTGGGCGGGACATGGGCATGAGGGCTGAGTGGGCGGGGCATGGGTGTGAGTGGGCGGGAGGGGTTGTGAGTAGGAGGGGTGTGAACGTGAGTGGGCGGGGCATAAAGGCTGAGCGGGCGGGGCATGGGAATGAGTAGGCGGGGTGTGGGCGTGAGTGGGCGGGGCAGGGTTGTGAGTAGGAGGGGTGTGAACGTGAGTAGGCGTGGCATAAAGACTGGGTGGGCGGGGCATGAGTAGGCGGGGTGTGGGTGTGAGTGGGCGGGGCGGGGTTGTGAGTAGGAGGGGTGTGGGCGTGAGTGGGCGGGGCAGGGTTGTGAGTAGGAGGGGTGTGAACGTGAGTAGGCGTGGCATAAAGACTGGGTGGGCGGGGCATGAGTAGGCGGAGTGTGGGCGTGAGTGGGCGGGGCAGGGTTGTGAGTAGGAGGGGTGTGAACGTGAGTGGGCGTGGCATAAAGACTGGGTGGGCGGGGCATGAGTAGTCGGGGGTGTGGGCGTGAGTGGGCGGGGCAGGGTTGTGAGTAGGGGGTGTGAACGTGAGTGGGCGGGGCATAAAGGCTGAGTGGGCGGGGCATGGGCATGAGTAGGCGGGGTGTGGGCGTGAGTGGCCGGGGCAGGGTTGTGAGTAGGAGGGGCATGAACGTGAATGGGCGTGGCATAAAGGCTGAGTGGGCGGGGCATGGGCATGAGTAGGCGGGGTGTGGGCGTGAGTGGGCGGGGCAGGGTTGTGAGTAGGAGGGGTGTGACCGTGAGTGGGCGGGGCATAAAGGCTGAGTGGGCGGGGCATGGGCATGAGTAGGCGGGGTGTGGGCGTGAGTGGGCGGGGCAGGGTTGTGAGTAGGAGGGGTGTGACCGTGAGTGGGCGGGGCATAAAGGCTGAGCGGGCGGGGCATGGGAATGAGTAGGCCGGGTGTGGGCGTGAGTGGGCGGGGCAGGGTTGTGAGTAGGAGGGGTGTGAACGTGAGTAGGCGTGGCATAAAGACTGTGTGGGCGGGGCATGAGTAGGCGGGGTGTGGGCGTGAGTGGGCGGGGCAGGGTTGTGAGTAGGAGGGGTGTGAACGTGAGTAGGCGTGGCATAAAGACTGGGTGGGCGGGGCATGAGTAGGCAGGGTGTGGGCGTGAGTGGGCGGGGCGGGGTTGTGAGTAGGAGGGGTGTGAACGTGAGTGGGCGGGGCATGGGCATGAGTAGGCGGGTGTGGGCGTGAGTGGGCGGGGCGTGAACGTGAGTGGGCAGGGCATAAAGGCTGAGCGGGCGGGGCATGGGGAAGGCGTGAACGTGAGTGGGCGGGGCGGGGCTTGAAGGCTGCGTGGGCGGGGCGCGGCGCGAGTGGGCGGGGCTCTGGGCGGTCCAGCCCGGGCCGGGCGGGCGGGCGGCCACGCACCAATCGCCTCCAGGATGAGCGTGTAGGCGGCCGTGGTCTCGCGGTCCAGGTTCACCACGGTCCTCACCACGGCGTCGCGGTAGCCCACGCTGAACTTCCCGTCCACGTTCCCGCCTGTGGGCCGGAGGGAAGCGAGTTCAGCGGGGAGGCGGGGCTTCCGGCCGGGGACGGGCGGCATCGGGGTCTCACCGGCCCAGGCCGGGACCCGTCGCCGCGCTGCTCGCGGGCTCGAGGCCCGGGTGGGCGCGTCCCGCGGGCGTGTCCGCCCACCGAGGACTCGCCCCGAGGAGGCGGGGGACGGGACCGGGGTGGGCGCCCCCGAGAGAGCGGGGCCTGGGGGGGCGCGTCCCCCGCTCCCGGGTGGGCGCGGTGGGGAGCGGGCAGGGGGCGGGGGGCGGGCAGAGCCGCCTCCGGGCAGCAGAGGGCGCCGCGGCACCGGGCTTGGGGCGGCCGCGGGAGACTCGGACCGGGTGCGAGGCCGGGCCCTGAGGCGCTGAGGCGCTGAGGCGCCGGCCGCCCAGACGCGCCGCCTGACGGGAGGTGCCCGCGGAGGCATCCGGGTGGGCGCGCGCCTGGGACGACCCGGCTCCGGCCCTGCAGAACCCGCCGCCACTGTCTGGGCGCATCGTCTCTTCACGGGAGCCCCCGAGGGAGGAGATCTGCTTCCCGGGTGGAGGGAAGGAACTGAGGCAAACGTGGTGTAGAGGGCGGGTGGGCCGGCAGACGCGTTCTGGCTGCCCCCCGCTCCCCAGGGACGCGGGTCTGCGAGTGCGGGGAGGTGAGCGGGGGCGGGGGCTGGTCCTTCCTCCTCTGTGTGTGGGAAGCTGCGGGGAACGGGCCGGAGAAGACGGAGCCTCCAGGGGCTGTGACGCGACTGTCCCCTGCTCGCTGTCCCGGCCCGCGGGTGTGTGGGAGCGACTCCAGGACACCCGAGTCCCGCGGCCAAGACCAGCGCTCGGGACCGAGTCGCCTTCTCCCGGCCAGTCAAGACCCGACGGTCTCCTCTCTCCCCGCTGGCAGCAGTTCCACACTCCGAGCTCAGAGCAGCTCGTTCAGAGACTCGGCCCGTTTCCGGCGCTGACTGACGCGTGGGGCGCAAAAGGCGGCAAACGAACCACCTGGACCCTGCACCCGAACGCCGGGGAAACGCTCCTGCGAAGGGTCTGGGCACGGGAAGGTCACACGAGTCTAGTCACTGCTTGGTCGACCTCCCGTGGGAGAGAGACAGAGACACAGAGAAAGCATGGAGCGGCTCCTGCTGGGGCATCAGAGGCCCCGCCTCCCTCCAGATGGGACCCTGGCACGTCCCGCCCTTGGCCCCCCAGGACTCAGGACCCCAGCGGTGTTCAGTGGCCGTCGGGGGCCTCCTCCCTGTTGGCCGCACCTGTGATGAAGTAGCTGAGCTCCGCGTTGAGGCCCACGTCGTTGTCTGTGCAGTTCAGCCAGAGCACCCGGAAGTCCCGGGGCACATCCTCGGACACGGACACATTGTACACGGCCGGGAAGAAAGTGGGCGTCTCGTCGTTCACGTCCAGCACTGTGGGCACAGGGGGGCGCGGGCACAGCGATGGCTGCCTCCTGTTCCACACCACCCACCCAGCCCCAAGGCCACGGTTCGAGCCACACAAACTGGGGAACGAGTGTCCCCCACAATCCACATCTCTCAACCAGCAGCCAGGACCCCGGACCTGCAGGGCAGAGTAACCAGAGCAAAGTGGCCTTCCCCACTACCCACTTCCTGGGGGCCTGCTTCAGGGAGGGGCCAGGAGGGATGCCCCTAAAGGCTCCTTCCACTCAGACACACAGCAGTGACCACACGGTGGATGCCATAATGATGGTGATGTGGATTCGCAGCTCCTCTCACACACTGAAACATGCGCCCCTCTGCACCCCTCGCCTCAGCACCCCTCACCAGGCGCCCCTCAGTACCCTTACCAGGTGCCCCTCAGCACCCCTCACCAGGCGCCCCTCAGCACCCCTCATCAGGCGCCCCTCAGCACCCCTCATCAGGCGCCCCTCAGCACCCCTCACCAGGCAGCTATGACCAAACACCCCCTGTTGATCTCAAACAGTGAAGGGGCTTTTCCATAGCGGGAGTGGGGGAGGGGGGCTGAGGTGCCTCCCCTCAAACTGTGATGGGGTGTTGGCTTTGAGGACTCCTGCCTGCCCACCCCCTCGAACCCGACAGGCTTAATGAAACATCTGTTACTCGGCTTTACATACCAGGCCCCATTTCCAGGGAACCACCTTTGCAGTGAAATGTCTCCCAGCTCTCTTGGGTCACTTGGGCTCCCCCCAGGAGGAATGAGGGGCCACTGCCTGGTGTGGCTTGTGTGAGCCATGAAGAGAAATCACTGGGGGGGGGTCTTGTCAGAGGGCTGAGAATCCTCCCCAGGGCCCCCACCCTTCCCCCCAGCACAGGAGGGGCTCCCCAGGTGGACGCCCCCTCCCTGGGAGCTCCTAAGGCCAGCCTTGGGCCAGCAGGAGACAGGATGCCCCAGCTGGTGAGGACAGGGCTGAGGAGTGCCGCTCCACACCACAGGCCATCCCCCGAGGCCTGCCGGGACCTGCCCTGGGAAACAGGCCACATCTCGCCTGCTGTACGCGGGCGGCACTCTGGTCCCCGGGGTTACTCCCGGTCCTTTGGCAAAGGCCCGTGCCAATGTCCTAGTACTGCCCCGAGAACTAAAGACATGGGGAGATGAAAGGGACACAGCAGCCCCCTTGGGCCACACTGGCAGGGCAGACAATGAGCTCAGCGCCGGGAAATGAGAAGCTCAAAAATGGGGATCCCGCCCCCTTCCCAGAATTCTGCCCTTCTGCTGGGATTGCGGGTGTTCCACACTCCAGGAGGGCAAGGCCTTTCCACTCTTCCAAATAAACCTCTGGTCTTGGAAAAAAATGGGCTCAGCAACCCCATTCTCCCCCACCAACGGAAACACTGCGTACCTCTCTCCCCCACCTCTCTGTCTCTCGGTCTCTGTCTCTCTCTGCTATAGGGACTGAACTGAAGAACAGAGAATTCAGCCAGATTCTGCACACCAAAGCCCACGGCAGCGCCTTTTACAGCCCCCAGACCTGGGAACCTCGAAAGACTGGCACCAGAGGAGGAACTAGAGAAGATATGGGACAGAAACACCACGGAATCCCGGTCTGGTCCTAGAGAAGAAACCTTGTCTAGAACAGCACGGATGGAATCAGAGCTGGTCACGCGCGGTCAAGCCAGCCAGGAGAGGCAACGCCTGGCCGGGCGCACTCCCCTGAGGCCACAGAGAAACAGCAAATCTGCAGAAGAGAGGTTATGGGGGCCAGGGTACTGCAGGGGCAGGGACCCCATGGGTTACGGGGAGGGATGGTGGTACTTCCTTCAGCTGTGGGTGTGGTGTGATCACAATATAAATTTCGAGGGAAGTATGACACTCACAGGCTTGCCGATCAGTCCAACACAAGCCAGAACAAAGAGGTTGGGAAGGTGCAGAGGGCCTGGACATGGGGTCCAGGAGGACTCTGGGGGACGCTGAAAGCTGTGGCCCTGCAGGAGATGTTGGCATGTCTCTGGGATCAGCTCTGCTGTGCTGATGGGCCGGGAGCAAGGCAGCCCGAGTCCACGCGGACAGTGGGCAGCTGAGGGGGCTGTGTGCATGCGCCCCTCACCTCGGATGGTGAGTGTACTGGTGGAGCTCTTGGTGGGGGTGCCCGCGTCGCTGGCCACCACCCGCAGCTGGTACTCCGCAATGCGCTCGCGGTCCAGCTCAGTGGCGGTCGTCACCACACCGTTGGTGCTGTTGATGAGGAAGTCCATGCGTGGCATGGCCACCCGCATGCGGTACGACACCAGCCCGTTCAGGCCCTCGTCCAGGTCGATGGCCAGCACCTGCAGGGAGACGGGATCATGGGAGGGCACCTCCCGGGGCTGAGGCCTCAGCCCCTCTCCCATCCCCTGCGCTGTGCTCAGGCACGCCCGGGTGGCAGAGAGGGGTCCCACTGCCCCAAGGGGAAGCTGCATCTAGAACAAGAGTCCTGGCCCCCAGGTCTCCCCCTTTCTTACAAACCCCAGCCTCTGTGCTGGGAAGTCGTAGAACTCAGCACCCCTAGCCCCGTGGATCTCCGCCATGACCCCTGAGCTCTGGCTGGGAACCGCTGTGTGGACTGTCTGAGCTCCAACCCACTGGAACGTGTGCAGCTCAGCTGTGTAGACGCCGGCTTGGTGGCTTTCCCTCCCACTGCTGTGGCATCGACCATGAGGTTCTTCCAAGAGCCTCTCCAGACCCACGGATGGTGCCTGGGACAGGACCCGAGGCCTCCGGCATGCCCAGAGGGGCTCTGCTCCAAGTTCCGCCCCCTGGCCACAGATTTAGTTTCTTTCTTGCTTGCGGGGATGTTGAACCACCCCCCATGGTGGTGCCTGGGGGTTTCCTGACTCCCAGTGGTGGGGGAGAGGGTGTCAGACCCTTCAGTCCTTGGGTAGGGTCGGCCGAGAATACGTTTTTGTTTGGTCTGGGCTGATAGTACAGCAGGTAGAGCATTTGCCTTGCATGCGGCCAACCTAGATTCGATGCCTGACATCCCAAATGGTCCCTGAGCAATGTCATGATTAATTCCTGAGTGCAGAGCCAGGAGTAACCCCTGAGCATCACCAGGAGTGACCCCAAAAAGCAAAATAATAAATACAAAAATTTAAAAAAGGTTTTGTTTGGTTTTGCCTTGTTTTGTTTTTGGGGCCACATCTGATGGTGCTCAGGGCTAACTCCTGGCTTTGTGCTCAGGGATCACTCCTGCCAGTGCTCAGGGGCCACTCCTGGCGGGGCTCCAGGAGACCATATAGGGTGACAGGGATGAACCTGGGTTGGCCGCGTGTAAGACAAGTGCCCCACCAGCAGAACTACTGGTCCAACCCTAGCGTAGAGTGAGTTAAGAATCACGTGAAGACCTGACTCTTGTGACAGAAACCAGAGCGTGGTCTGAGATCACACGCAGACGGGCCTCTTTCAAGATTCCACCCCGTTCCCTCGACTCATCCCCTCCTCAGAGACTCTGAGAGTTGAGTGTCTGACGGCAGTTCGAGAAAGATGTGATGCGTAATAACAGGAAATAAGGGCTGTCGATTTGGTCACCATGCTCGGAAAAGAACTGCAGCCATCAGGTCTAAATTCACATCCAGTCAGCAGGAAGAGGGGGTGTCCAGACCCAGCAGGAAGGGCCTAGGATGGGGCTCACTACTCGCACTTGGTTGGCGTGTGGCCCTTCCGGGGGCCAGGCCTTCTGCTCAGAACCAGGGCTCCCTGGGGGTCGTATCTGAAGATCTGAAGCCAGGGACCAAGTCAGGGCTCCCTCCACCGCAGGACCCCTCTCCTCTCTCGGGAGCCCATCTCTTTCCCCCCGGGTCGGGGGGCTCCCTTTTCCGCATCCCCCTTCCTTATGTGGGAGGACGCCTTCTCCGAGACTGGCCGCTGTTCCCGGGATCGTAGCTCCCCCTGCTGGACGCTGGGGGGAATGCTCTGTGCAGAGGCTGGATCCACCCAGAGATGCAGAGGGCTCTGGGGGGTCCGATGGAGCCTCCGGCCAGCCCGAGAACACTCTGCCTTATCTGACAGAATAAAAAGAAGACCCAGCGAGCGCATACGGAAGTCGCAAGGGCCTGGCACCCTGAACAACAGCCTGTCTTGTCCTAATGGGGGCAATTAACCCCCGGACTCCGCTCTCTGTGACTAGGCCTGCTGCCAGGTGCCAGGCTGGTGTCCGACGGAATACGTACAGTATAGCCACCAGGCAGGTGCTCTCGTGACCCCATTGACACTGGGGCCTCGCCAGCTTGGCTCCAGCTGTGAGTGGGGAACCCACTAACTCCCAGGCTGGCTGAACTCCTCCAGGCGCTGGGCCACGGGCACCTGAAGCATTTCTACCCGGGCTCTGTGGGGCACCAGCTCCCCCACTCCAGTCAGCACCTCCCACCTCCCGGAGCAGATGGGGCCGTGGGGCGCAGAAGGGCAGGTCCTAGGGGACCCTGAGGGACCCCAGCATTTGGAGCTCCTGGGAGAGGAGCACAGGTGAGGGATGGGGGCTGAGCTCCTCCACCCCCGTGGAGACCTCCTGGCTTGCCTTGGATGGGTTAGGGGCACCCCCTGCAGTGCTCAGGGCTTGCTCCTGGCTCTGCGTGTGCTCAGGGGTGACTTGTGGTCGGGCTTGGAGGATCCTATGTGGTGCCGGGATTGAAGCCAGGCTGGTCGCCCACAAGGCAAGCTTCTTCCCTGAATGCCGTGCTCTCTCTGGCCGGGGCCTTAGCCCCCCTCCCTGGGTCTGCCCTTCCCCATCTCCAGCTGTTCTCTCCCACACCGTCTCCAAATCTGTCCTTCAAAATCTGGCTCAATCCAGCGCTGCCGCCTTCAGGAAGCTGGCGACCACCACTGCGGGGACGGGCCCATATTTGTATCTTGCGGGCTGATCTCCCACCCTGGGCAAGTCCCCAGCCCATGGGGGCCACGGCACACCTGGTAAGCGCAAGGAGAGGGGTGCATGGGAGCCGGACCCTCACCTGGTAGACAGAGACGCCCGCAGGGGTGCCTTCCAGCACCTCGGCCACAAAGGGCAGGTTCTGGAAGGTGGGGTCGTTGTCATTGAGATCCAGGAGGTTCACAAACACCGTGGCACTGCTCGTGGCCCTCAGGGGTGGCCTGCCACCTGGGGGAGACGGGGCGGGGGGAGGGGTGAGTGAGGGGAGGAAAGGGGGCGGAAACAGAACATACTCATGAGTCTGCCTTCCCTGGGTCGCCTCCAAGGTAGCCTGACACCCCCAAATCACTGCCAGGAGGGATTCTGAACTGGGAAGTGGATCTTAGTCCACTGCCAGTAATAAAGACACAGTCCTTGGGGCCGCAGAGAGTGTCCAGGGATGATGGTGTTTGAGCTGCGTGTGGACGACCCAGGTCTGACCCCCGATACTGCGTATGATCCCCGAGCCTAACGGGAGTGGACCCTGCGTGAGCGAGCGCCCCCGACGAAGGAGGACCCAGGGCCTGGGCTGCGGGGTCGGGCACGCACAGTCGGTGACCGAGATGATAATCTTGCGCATGAGCTCCGCCTCGTGGGGGTCGGGGTTCTCCCGGTCCAGCATGACGTGGGTGGTGCGGATCTTGCCCGTGCTGCTGTTCAGGCTGTAGAACTTGTTGGGGGGCTCGATGCTGTACACCAGGGTGCCATTCTCCCCCAGGTCTGGGTCCACGGCCACGACCTGCGGGAAAGACGGGGTGCCTGCCCCTGAGCCTGGCCCGGAAAGGCATCTGCATGCTGGAACCTCAGGCAGGCACAGATCTCGGGGTCCCGACCTCCTGGGGGCAGGAGGCAGGCGGTGGGTCTGCCCCCCACCCCAGCAGGGACTTGGATGGGGGTCAGAGGCAGAGACTCGACTCAACCCTGAAAGTTGTGGGGGTCGCTTGGTCTCCGTCCTTGGAGTGGACTTGGGCGAGTCCCCTTCCAGTCTCAATCCGGGGGCAGGAGATGAGAACAGCCCCCGCCAACCTCGCCAAGAGGCCAGGCCAGCTAGGAAACCACCTGACGGCACTCTGCACACGGCCCCACAGTTGGATCTGAGCACCTCAACAATGCCAGGCCCTCCCCACGGCCCCAGGAGGGGCAGTGACAGCCGTGCCTGTGTCTCAGGGGACCCAGGAAGTTCTCTGAGCTAGAAAGTGCCCGTCCTCCCCGCTGTGGGACCGTAGGCGCATGGGCTTCTGGGGGAACAGGAGGCTCCGTGCCTGTGGGGTTGCTCAGGCGGGGTGGGTGGGGGAGGGAGGCCTGGGCTGTTGGCGGAGCAGTAGGAGGAAAAATCCTTGATTTGGAGCCGAAGAGCTAGTAGAGGGGTCAAGGCGTTTGCTTGCATAAGGCTGACCCCGGTTCAATTCCCGGCACCACATACGTCCCTCTCTCATCCCCGCAAGTGCCACCAGGAGTGGTTCCCAAGCACTGAGCACCGCCAGGTGTGGCCCCAAACCTCAAGGCTCCCCCCAAAGAAATCCTTGGTTTGGCAGGTGTCACCAAACCCTTTCTTCTTCCTTCCTGTGAAGTTCCTAATCTGGAGGCGATCTCGAAAGACTTAAGCGCCTGTGAAGCCGGGACGATGGGGCGCCCCAGACAAGCTCCTGCTCCGTGCGTGGGTGCCTGCAGGGGCAATGACGGGCTGAGAAAGAGGGGAGACTGCAGGAGGGGCCTGGGACCCCATGGCAGGGAGGGGCTCGCATGGCCCCCCAGACTCTTGAGCCCCCTGAGCTCCCCCACCGTTCAGTTCCCTGTGCGCCCTCCGCGGAGGGGCGAGCCTGACCGATTGTGGGGCTGGTTCACCCCAGGTCCCGGCGTCCCCGGCTCCGAGAGGCCCAGCCCGGCATCAGCTCCAGTGGACACAGCCACGGCCACCAGCACCCCAATGCCCTGCTGCTGGCCAAGAAGAATGTGGGGGCGGGGTGGGGCGCAGTCCCCAGGGTCCTGCCAGATGCTCAGGGGCTGTCACAGCCTGGCCTGGCCCCTCCTGCAGCCCCCCGTGAGTGGGGTCTTTGTGCTTGGGCAGCAGAATGAGCCTGTCCCTGGCTTGATCTCCGGCCGCGGTGTCCCTGAGGCCGCTGGAGCAGAACAGATAGCGGAGGTGCCCAGCTCCCACGGCCCACCCATCCCACCCCCCTCCCCGCTGGGCTGCACCCAGGGTGGTGGGGGAGGCCGGCCCTGGCCTCCCAGCCTGAGGGCCCCTCCCTGAGCTTGCTGCCTTGGTTTCCCCAGCGTTGATAACTGGGTACAGTTCCCCTGTGGAGGGCAGGTTAAGGACACCCTCTCCTGGCGATTCTCCAATGTGCCTTTGGTCCGTTGTTTTGGGGCCATACCCGGCGATGCTCAGGGGTTCCTCCTGGCTCTGCACTCAGGAATTACTCCTAACACTGCTTGGGGGAACCATATGGGAATGCCAGGATTCGAACCCGGGTTGGCTGTGTGCAAGGCACTGTACTATTGCTTCGGTCCATTCAATGTGCCTTTTGAGTCAGGAAATACTGCACAACACACTTCCTGGATGGGGAAACCGAGGCAGGCGGCAGTTGGGTCCCCAAGGCCAGATTAGCAGGCTGCTGTGAAGGTCAGTGTCATATGGGGGGGACTTCCCTTTGTCCCTCTCCCCACCCTCAGGGGTCTCGAGTACCTGCTGCAGCTGCTTCCCAGGGGCCCTCCGAGGCACCCCCTGAGCTCTGGCTCTGGACCCCTCCCGGGCGGGGGTTGTGAGGGCGCCAGAGCAGGTGGTGGGCTGTGACCCACCCACCCTGCAGGCTCCCTGCTGGGCGGTTCTGTAGAATCTCACCACTTTGCCCTCATTTATTTCCCATTTCACGCCCATCATTTTTCTCCGGGCCTGACGGGGAATAATTCTCTCCCGCTCCCCTCTCCTTTATTTTGCTGGAGGGCTTTGAAAGGCTCTAAATCAATGCCCATAAGCCAGGTCCTTGAAGGAGGCTGGGAGCGGGGAGGGGCACGCCGGGAGCTAGCAGAGGGAGGCAGCAGCCCGGCGGCAGGGACCCTTGGCACACAGGGCCAGCGCAAGGCCCCCCGCGCAGCCAGAAGCAGAAACGCAGTCTCGCCTGCGTGTGCTTGAAACCCCCTGGCCCCAGGCCTCAGACTCTGGGGCACCCCTCTCTGGAGAGGAGAGAACCCCAAGGTCCTCAGCTCCTTTTGCAGGAGGACGGGGAGGGGAGGCGGGAGGCAGACTGACTCTTGGCAAAACACAGGATAAGGTGCTGGCTCTGCACGCAGCTGACCTGGGTTCAATCCCCGGCGCCCCATATGGTCCCCAGCACGGCCAGGAGTGAGCCCTGAGCACAGAGTCAGGAGGACGCCTGAGCACTGCTCCAGTAAACAAAACAAAAAGACACTTTTTATTCACCAACACTTTTGTTGTTTTGGGGCCACACCTGGCTTACTTCCTGCTGTTTCGGGGGTGGCTCTGGGAAGTGCTCGGGGGAGCCTGGGGTACAGGGATGAACCCAGCTCGCCCACAAAGGGTGAACGCGTGAGGCCCTTTATGCTGCCTTCTGCCCCGATCCCAAGGCACCACAGCGACAGGGCCTTGAGCTCCCCAGAGGCCGCAGGACTGGGCATGACGGGCAGGAGGGCTCCGTCACCCATCGCCTAGGGGAGAAGGTGGCTCAGGGGTCGGCCACTCTCCCGAGTCACAGAGCCGGGGGTAACGTCTGGATAGCAGGTGCCTGAGGCTCTGTTCTGGGCCATTAGGCTCTGCAGCCTTTGCTAAGCTGGCCCCCGCCCCCACTCACACTCACACACACACACACACACACACACTCACAAACACACACACAAACACTGACACTGACATACATGCACACTCACACTCACATACATATACACACATATCCACACTCACATAAGACACACTCACATACACGCTCACACTTATATACATATGCACACAGACACACACATACACATATTCACTCACATACAGACACACACACTCACATACATATATACACATACACATATACACACATTCACACTCACATAGACACACTCACATACACATAGACACATACATACTTGCATACACATAGACACACAGTCACACTCACACACACTCACATACTTATAGATACATATACACACACTCATACACACACTCACACATACACACTCATGTACACATACACACACTCATACACGCTCATATACACACTCATGTACACACATGCACACTCACACATACACACTCACACTCATATACACACTCGTACACATACACACATACTCATATACATGCATGCACACATACACACATGTGCACGCACACACATATACTCACACACATCACACACACTCACACACGTGCTCGCAAACTCACATATATAACCACACACACATACTCACACAGATGCTCACACTCACATATACACTCACATATGGTCACACACATTCACACACACACTCACAAGCTCACATACTCATACACTCACATATACATGTGCACATACAAACACATGCATGCTCGCTCACACACACACACTATATACACTCACACTCGCTCTCACACACACTCACCAGTTCAGAACAGGAGGAATGGGCTCTCTGGGGGCAGGCATATCGGCTGGGATGGAGGGGTGAGGCGTCTGGCCTGGGAAGGGCAGGGGCGGGTTGAGGGGGAAGGGGGGCACTTCAGGCACGAGTGTCGGGGTTCAGGAAACGGAGAGACCATCATGTGTGGGGGGTGGGCAGCCCGGAGGTGGGAGCTGCGTGGGGAGGTGCGTCCCTCCTGCTGTCCCCGCTGGCCTCATGCTGGCCTGCACCCCGCCTCACTCTGCCTGTCCCAGGGGGCCCCTCCAAGGCAGCGGGACGCACAGGGACAGGCACATGCGCACACAGACAGGTCTGGCCCCCCTGGCCCCTTGCATCCTCGGAGGGCCCCGGGCCTCTTGGGCGTCACTGGGAGCAGAGAAAGGCCTTTCCGATCTGGACACGTGGAGAGCAGGAGGTGCGTGAGCCTCCACTGGGGCCTTCCGGGCCTGCGCTGAGGGTGTGCCAGAGGGTGGGTATCAGTGCCAGTCCCACGGCCGCCTTCCTGGGCAGCTGGCGAACGAGCTGCTCTCCTGCTTCCTGGGGTGAGTCCTGGCACTGCCGTTTGCAGGCTCTGGACCCCCAGCCCACCTTTGAGCCTGTGGCCTCACTGTCCTCCATGGGACAGTGGCAGCACTGTCCTGGCTCTCTGGGAGCACTGTCCCTCATACAACATCTTCCCTGACACCACGGGAGCACTATCTGTAGTACCAGGGGAGCACCATCTCTGGCACAACGGGGACCATCCCTCTGCAGCGTGAAGCCTGACGGGAGCAGTCCCCGAGAAACCCCTAGCAGGGCGTCCGGCTGCTCCCAGGCATTCCAGAGTGGGGGGACGCTCCCAGGCTGGAGTCATCCCCACTGGCTGGTGGCAGGAGGCAGGACCTTAGGGAACGCGTCTTCCCAAAGGAGGAGTGGAGGGGCCCAGGAGGAGCCCAGGAGGAGGCCACACCTGTGGCCCGGAGCAGAGCAGGCAGAGCGGGACCGCTCCTCCTTCAGCTTCCCAGGGACGCAGCTCTCTTCCGTGGGCGCCCGAAGCTCTGCAGAACCCACCCCCAAGGCAGCGCCCTGCAAGCAGCACTTTGACACGTGTGCACACATGATGCACAGGGGCTCTGATGTATATGCACACATGATGCAGGATGTTTTGATGGGTACACACGATGCAGGGCGCTTTAGTGCATGTGCACACGATTCACAGGCGTATGTACACACATGACGCAGGACTCTTTGATGCATGTGCACACATGATTCACGGGCTCTTTGACATACGTACACACATGATGCAGGATGCTTTGACACGTGTGCACACATGATGCACACATGATGCACAGGGGCTCTGATGTATATGCACACATGATGCAGGATGTTTTGATGGGTACACACGATGCAGGGCGCTTTAATGCATGTGCACACGATTCACAGGCGTATGTACACACATGACGCAGGACACTTTGATGCATGTGCACTCATGATTCACGGGCTCTTTGACATACGTACACACATGATGCAGGATGCTTTGACACATGTGCACACAAGCACACATGACACAAGGTGCTCTGATGTATGTGCACACAAAACAGGGCATTTTGACATATGTGCACACATGACGGACCACCAAACCAGGAACATCCCACACCAGGATATTCCTGGGGCCACTTCACCACTCTGTGGGAGTAGCCCTGGGGGCTGGAGCGAGGGGAGGGTTGAAGGGTTGGTGAGACAGAAGGGCTGAAGGGATGGTGAGAGGGACAGGAGAGGGGGGTCTCCGGAGCAGAACACAGCGGGCGGGAGCAGCCCCAGTTCGTGGGCAGGGCCCGAAGTCCACCCTCCCTGGGCTTGGTGGGACCTCAGAGGGCGTCTGGACTCTGAGAGCAGCGGGTGGCCAGGAGGGTGGTGGGTGGCCATCCCCCGTCACCGCTTACCGTGGTCACGTCAGAGTCTGGAGGGGTCATCTCCACCAGGTTGATGTAGTACGGGGCGTCCTTCCAGGTGGGGTGGTTGTCGTTGATGTCCAGGAGGGTGACGTTCACCTGTGGGGCCACCAGGGGCGCTGTGGGCCGTGCCGTGCTGGGGTGAAGTGGGGGTAGGGGGGGGCGCTGGCACTGATTCATTCCACCAGTCCCACCCACTCTCCAGACAGGGCCTGAGCTTCCCAGGCCTGCGGCTGTCACGTGGGGCCGTCAGATGTGGCTGAGATGACACGAAGTCCTTCCTGCGACCCGGGCTGGTCCCCGCCCTCCCAGAGCCTGAGCTGAAGGTGACTGACAAGGAGCAGGGGTGAGGGGCTGCGGGCTGTCGAGGCCTCCAGTCGGTCTTAGCTACAAGCCAAGCAATTTCGCTGCTCACCTGCCACCAGGTAAATTATTTATAGGGCTCTAAATCCTTTCAGCAGGCGTCTCTCATGACTGAATAGGGCACTGGGGACTTTCCTGCCAAGCCTCTGGCCAAGTGCTATCAACCAGGTCCCTCTGGCTGGACAAGGTGGGGGACGAAGAGGGGGACAGAGCCTCTGGGGCCCCCAGGGGGGCGTTGCAATTGGGATCCTCGGTCACGATCCCCTGCTCTCCCTTCTCGCGTCTCAACTCCCCCCGTACCTTCACCCAGCCCTTCTCTCTAAGGCCTGACCTCTAAAGCTAGAGGGATGTGGCCCCCAAGGATCCCGGGCACCGGAAAGACTCCATCTGGGGCCGGAGACAGTGCACTGAGCTTGCCTTGCATGCCGCTGACCAGGGTTTGATCTCCCAAGCCCCACCAGGAGTGATTCCTGAGTGCAGGAGAAAGCCACGAGCATGACTGGGTGTGCCCCTCCAAACACTGTCACTGTCCTCCCGTTGTTCATCGATTTGCTCGAGAGGGCCCAGTAACATCTCCATTGGAGACTTTTGTTGTTACTGTGTTTGGCATACTGAAGACGTCACGGGTAGCTTACCAGGCTTTGCCATGCAGGCGAGGTACTCTCGGTAGCTTGCCAGGCTCTCTGAGAGGAATCGAACCCGGCTCAACTGGGCTGGCCGCGTGCAAGGCAAACGCCCTACCCGCTGTGCTATCGCTCCGGCCCATAGTTTTTAAAAAGCTTCTCTTATAGGGGGCTGGAGAGATAGCCCGGCGGGTAGGGTGTTTGCCTTGCACGCCCGACCCGGATTCGATTCCCCGCGTTCCATATGATCCCTTGAGCACTGCCAGGAGTAACCCCTGTGCATCGCCAGGTGTGACCCAAAAAGCCAAAAAAATAAAAAAGCTTCTCTAGGACTATCAGTAAATGCTTCACTTGTGGACCAATTCCATAGGCTCAAGATACTGTGAAAGCTTCTCAGGCGAGATGTGGTGAGAGGGGAAGTTGAGAAGTGCTGCTGGCAGGCATGTGGGCACGGGCACATGCGTGGGCACATGGCTGGGTACAAGTCTGGGCGCATGGCGTGGGCACACGCAGACACATGGCTGGGTCCATGTTTGGGCACATGGCTCGGGCATATGTGCAGGCAGATGACTGGATACACGTCTGGGTACATGGCGTGGGCACACGGCACAGGTACATGGCTGAGCACCTGGCTGGGCACACGCGCGTGAGCACACGGCCAGGCACACGGCTGGGTATACATGTAGGTATACGGCTGGGCACACGGATTGGGCACTCTCAATGCCAGGAAAAACTGCTCCCGTTTCCTGGCAGGTGTCAAGGCAGAGAGGCCTCCGGCCCCGGCTCCCGTGGGGTTTCTTGGGCATGGAGGTCTGGCAGGGGTCGGGGCCGGCGAGGCAGGGCACTCACTGTGGCGATGCCGGTTTTCTGATTGTGGCCCACGCCGCCGTCCACCGCACGGACGATGAGGATGTATTCGGACTTGGTCTCCCGGTCCAGCAGGGACGTGGTGGTGAGCTCGCCTGCGTGCAGGGGAGTGTGTGAGAGAGGGTGTGGTGGGCTGGGGGAAGTGGGGGGACAGACGGACAGACAGGGGAAGTGGTCAGGGAGGAGGGAGGCGTGGGAGAGGGTGGGAGAGAGGCATCTGCAGAAGGAATGAGGAGGAGCCTCTGGGGGTGCCTGCAAGCATGTGTGTACATGTATGTGCACATGTATGTATGTGTGTGTGTGTGTGTGCGCGCGCGCGCGCGCACGTGTGCTGGGAGTGTGGAGATGAAATTCTCGGAGGAAAATGGGAACAAGGACCCCAAGAGCTGGGCATCAGCACTAATCCCATGCCCAAGAGGTCACTTCAGATGCAGGAAAATCCAGACTGAGGATGAGTGGGGCTCTGGGGAGGGGCAGAAGGGACCGGTCATTTCTAGAAGAGTTGCCAAGAACTCTCCTGCAGGCTGCCGACCTGATCTTGCGGACCTGCCACTTGGAACTGTTAAGGGCTCTCTGCCTCAGTTTCTCCATTAGGTCAAAATCATAGAACTTACCGCCCGGGCCTGTGGGGGGATGAATTCATTCACTGGTACAGCCTGGGAGCTCAAGCCTGGCACTGTGGATTCTTAGAGCCATGGGAACATGCAGGTGTCAGCTCTGCCCTGTGCCCAGCACTACCCAGCTCTGCCCAGAGAGCACAAATAATCCCCTTAATCCTCCTGTGAACAATGTGATCATATTGCTTGAATTATTAAAAAAGCATGCAAGCAAGTCGTTCTATTAGATACACACAGTTGGGGGCCAGAGCTATAGTATAGGGGGTAAGGTGCTTGCCTGGCACGCAGCTGACCCTGATTTGATTTCTGGCACCTCCAATGACCCCCTGAGAGATTCACTAGGAGTGATCCCCAAGCGTAGCGCCAAAAGTAAGCCCTGAGCGTCTCTGGTGTAGCCCCAAACCAAAAATAAATAAGTGAACGACAAACCAGCAATTCAAATGAACCACAATTTCTATGCATCTGTGTTTGAGATTTCCTGTATTTTGGTATTTAAGTAAGAACACTGACGTCATTCTGGTTGTGGGGAGATCTACTGGTCTGGCAGGCAGTTCCCCAAGGGGGGGGATAGGCGGGTGCTGATCTCTGGCTGGGAGCATCCTCCCAGGGCCCGTTCTAAGCTACCGACGTGCTGGCCTTGAATCTAGAGTAGCGGGCGGCTGCTGGCCAGCGCCAAGGTCAGCTGTGCCTGTCCGTCTCACAGGGTCCCCGCCCTGTCCCAGGAACCAGGTGACGCTCTGAGGACAGAGGGCCTGGATGTGAGCTCTGACTGTGGTCCTTCCAGACGCCTGCCTTTGGGGACCTGCCTTCTTAGAGGCACTGTCCCCTCTGTAATGAGTACACTTCCCGGTCAGAGCTGAGTGGGGAGCAAATGCCTCCGGGCCAAGCTCTGACCTCCCCAAGGGGCCAGGCACGGACAGCAGCTGCCTTTAAAAGTCCCCACTGCAGAGCTGGAGAGATAGAACAGCGGGTAGGACGCTTGCCTTGCAAGAATGCAGCATCCCATATGGTCCCCTAAGTCTTGCCAGGGGTAATCCCTGCGTGCAGAGCCAGGCATAAGTCCTGAGCACTGCCGGTTGTGACTCACAAACCAAGATAAAATAAAATCCCTGGGGCTGGAGTGATAGCACAGCGGGGAGGGCGTTTGCCTAGCATGCGGCCGACCTGGGTTCGATTCCCAGCATCCCATACGGTCCGCCAAGCACCGCCAGGAATGATTCCTGAGTGCAGAGCCAGGAGTAACCCCTGTGCATCGCCAGGTGTGACGCTAAATAACTAACTAAATAAATAAATAAATAAAACCCCTGTTGTCTGAGCTGAGTGACCCGGGACAAGGTACTTAATGCCTCTGGACTTGGTTTCTCTCATTATCAAAGAAAGATAGAGGAGGTTCACCAGAGGCTGTGAACTGAACCTCCTCCCTCCAGGCCCCCTTCTCGGCCCTGTCACACCGGCTTGTCCTTTGCCCTGTACAGGGCAGGGAAGGGGCCTGGGGGTCAGTAGGGAGGCAGCGAGGCCAGACCTGCCTCCGACCAGGATGGGCTGGGGTTGGTTCATTGACAGGGTGAGGAAGAAATTAATCTCTAAAAAGTTTCAAACATGAACTTGTTGGCATGACAGATGACACCTCCTAGCTGGGAAATTAGACCCAACTAAGGGCGCCTCAGTCCAGCCGGAGCCCAGCGCCCAGGAGACCGACACACGCCTTGGGGAGGTGGCGAGAGAGGGACTGTGTCCTCACTCAGGGCCACGGGGTAGAACCTGGGCCCGGCTGGGCACCTGAAAGGTCAGGACGCCCACCCTGTCTCTGGGTGTGGACACTGGGCTCCACAGCACGGCTGGGCATGGTGGGGCAGCAGATCAGCTCTGGGAGTCTTAGGGAAGAGGCTTAACTGCCCCCCCCAAGCGTTCCCCCCCCCCCCCCCCCCCCCCCCCCGCGCACACATCAAGCCTCAGTTCCCTTTGCTGGAAATTAGGGGAAAACGCCAGCACTGGGCTCATGGAGGGGTGAAGGGAGGGTGCAGCACGGGACACTTAATAAACGAAGGGATTTTATATAACACACTCAGCCGGTCTCCAGGAAAACAAGGGTCCCCTGGCCTACACCGAGGAACGCGGCCCAGTGGGAGGGCATGTGCCTTGGGTAAGCGGGGTCCAGGACTCATGCCCAGCCCCACGGACAACAGAGAAAAGGAAAGAGAGGGCTGAGCTGAAGCGAGTACTGCGGGCAGAGCACAGCTGACCCAGGTTCCATCTCGGCACCACAGAAGGTCCCCTGAGGACTGCCAGGAGTGCTCCCTGAGCATGGAGCCAGGAGTTCTCCCTGAGCATGGAACCAGGAGTGCTCCCTGAGTACGGAACCAGGAGTGCTCCCTGAGCACGAAGCCAGGAGTGCTCCCTGAGCTCAGAACCAGGAATGCTCCCTGAGCACAGAGCCAGGAGTGCTCCCTGAGCATGGAACCAAGGAGTGCTCCCTGAGCACGGAGCCAGGAGTGCTCCCTGAGCACAGAGCCTGAGCACAACCAGGCGTGGTTCCAAAATTCCTCTCCCCTTCCCCCAAAGAGGGCTCCCTGGCAATGTGAGGAGAGGGTCTGGGGATGGAGTCAGGCTGCAGGGGGCAGAGGGCAGAGGGCAGAGGGCAGGTGCGGCTCACCGGAGCGAGCATTGATCCGGAACTGCGAGGACCCCTCCAGGGAGTAGATGATGGACTCTTGGCCGTACTCCCGTGAGCGGTCCAGGTCCGTGGCGTTGAGGAACAGCACGGTGGCTCCTGGCGGGGGGAGCACTCGCCGTGGGCTCGGGAAGCAGCAGCCAGGCAGCCGCGGGGCGGGAAGCCCGCGTGCCACAGGGACCCTGCTCCCCGCCAGGGCTCCCGGGCGTGGGAAGGACAAGGATGTACAGAGGGGGTCCCGGAGAGCAGCCTCCCCTCCCCTCCCGTATTCAGTGGTCAGAATCGCCAGCTTCCTGCCGCGTCCCTGCTCTCCAGGACACTGACCTGGGCCTGCGCTTCCACCACTGTCCAGCCAGGGCCTTTGCCTTTATTTCCATCTCTGAGACCCCTGGCAGGGACCCTCATTCTCAGCCGCCCTGCCGGACCCCGAGAGCAGCAGGGTTGGGAACCACAACCAGCAGGAGCCCTTGAGGGGGTCTGTGTGTGGCCAGGCTGGAAACCCCCAGCCCTGCCTGGGGAGCCCCTCCTGCCTGCACCTTACTGCTTCCCCAGGAGAGGCAGCTCACTTGGAGAAGGCCTGAGTGGGGGTCCTGAGAGGAAGCCCCTCCTCACAGAGCTCCGGGCTCTCCCTGAGGCGCTGTACAGAGGTACAGAGGGATGGAGAGGGTGGGCTGGATCAGCCAGGCAGGGCACATGACCCTTTCAGGCGCTGTGTAACCTCAGGGGCTCAGTCCTGCCTGGAGCCGGGCCCGCGGACCCCTTACCCCACCCCTCACCCTGGGAGAGGACTTAAGAGGCCTGGAGGTGGGGCACAGCAGGAAGGGCGTTTGCCTTGCATGCAGCCGACCCAGGTTCGATTCCCAGCATCCCATATGGTCCCCTGAGCACCACCAGGGGTGATTCCTGAGTGCAGAACCAGGAGGAACCCCCTGTGCATCGCCAGGTATGACCCAAAAAGAAAAAAAAATCAAGAGCCCTGGAGGTGGGGTGAGGGGTGTCTGAGCTGCAGACACTGGAGAGCAGCCTGGGAGGATGCCAGGGGCGTCACCCTATCCCTCCCCACCCTCCCCGGCCCACACACCCAACGCTGCCCCCTCTCTGGACACTTTCTTCCCTGGAGCAGCCCCTCTGGCTGAGGACAGCTGATTCCCCCCAGAACCCACCGTAGTGGGGGCTGGCCTGTGGCCCTGGCCTGCCCCTGCCACACAGCCGGAGACGGGCCCCACTCTCGTGCTCACACCCACACACACCCCGCGGTCCCTGAACAAGCCCCATGTGAGAATCTCAGAGGCCGAAAGAGGCAAAGGGCACGGTCACTCCACTGCTCGGCCCTGTCTGCAAGAGAGCAGGACGGGCCACCCAGAGACCCTGGGGCCGGGAGAGGACCACATATCTAACAGAATTGACCCCGGGGCTGTGACAGGGGTCACCTATGCTGGGGGCTGCCCCACATGCACTGGTCCGCACACACGAACCACCAGCCAGATCACCAGCCCCTGCCCTCAACCCCCACCCCCCACCCCACCCCGTACCTGCCATGATGTTCTCCAGCACAGAGATGAAGTAGGCGGGCTTGCTGAAGGTGGGGGGGTTGTCATTCTCATCCTGTAAGGCAAGTGGACAGGCTGCAGGAGGCGGGCAGGGCTAGGGCGCTCCTGGCACCCAGGGGCAGCTAGGCAGAGTGGACACTGACAGCTCGGGACTCCGTGTGTGCCCATAGTTGAGAGCTTGGTGTAGGGCTGGGCGGGCTGGGGGGCACAGAGTGTGCCTGACGTGGGGGTCAGGAGGATGGGCAGGGGGAGGGGTGGCAGCAGAAGGACCACCACCATCGCCTGCCCCTGCCCAGCACCCTGTGGCAGCCAGCTAACCCGACCCCCCTCCCTCAGCTCAGCAGTGCTCACCCAGCTCAGCAGGGGCACCCGGGCACACCACCCGCAGCTCCACTGGGAAGAGGGCAGAAGTGTAGGCCCCCTCCACATGAGTCCCCCTCCCTGCGCCAGGGAGATACTGAGATCCACACTGGCCCGGAGATTCCGAGTCAGAATTAGACACACATGTACACACATGCAGGCACACAACGGTGCACACGCACACAGTCCACTCACACATGCACACACACACATGCACTCTCACATACATGTATGTGCACCCTCACATTGCATGCACACTCACATACATATGCACTCACAGACATGTGCACGTGTGTACACACGCATGAACCATGGTTCCCAGCATGACCCAGAGGGCCAGAACACTCTGCATGCTGGAGCCCTGCGTTTCCTCCTCCAAGCAGCATGGCTCCTCCCTGGGGCTCCTCCCCACTCCCACTCAGGCAGACTTTCCAGCACCCCAAATGCTCGCTGCATCCCCGCTGCTTCCTCCGCAGGCCCGGGCTGGCCCCCTTTCCCCGAGACCCAGTACGGAACTCAGGGACGGAGTGTGTGGCCCCCGTGGGGTCCTCAGTCCTGAACAGCCACATGCTGCCGGGGACACTCTGTGTGCAGAGGCTCTCGAGCCCATTTCGCTGGAATCGCTTTGCAGTGAGCAGACAAGCTCAGTCCCAACTGCTCTCTCTGCCCACCCCCGGGCTCCGGAGAACCTCATCCTGCCAGCAGCCAGTGCCAAAAGGAGAGGTCTTCGGGGGCTGGACCTGGGCCCCACAGCGCCCGCCTACAGCCCCAGCTCCCGGCCCGGCCTCCCCCGCCTCCGCCCCTGTGCGGTCCCTGTCCCAGCAACACTCGGCGCCCCTCCCTGCCCAGAGGGGGGCACGAGCGCCCCATCTCCGTGGATACTTAGGCCTTCTGCATGGCTGCACCCCACGGCACCCAGAATGTCAGTGAGGAAGCGTGAGGCAGAAACTTATTAGCGGTGATATTTCCCCGGATCCTGGCGCTGCGTTCACTATTAGTTCTAATTCAGCGACTCCCTCTACAAAAGCTTATTGTCCCCTAATGGGAAATCCGCAAACCGAGTTTGACTTCTTTATTAAAAACCAACAAGCAGAGGAGGAGAGGGGCCGCCCGGCCGGCTCCTTCCTGGAGCCCATCACTTCACCGGCTCCCCCCACCCCACCCGGCAGGAAGGGCCGCTCTCCACTTCTTCACCTCCGGGCTGCGTCTCTATTCAATTTTTTTCAGCTGGGAGAAAACCCCTTTGGAGGAGGGAGGCAGCGGCTTAGCGAGTGACAGCCACTTAAGAGTCACCCACGTGCGAAATCAACCAGAGGCGGTGACCTTTTCAAGCGCGGTCCTTGGAAACCGTGAATACTGGGGACAGAGCTGGCCACCTCCCCCTCCTCTGCCTCCTCTGCCTCCCTCGCCGGCCAGGGGGCCTCCGCTCCTGCCACCAGGGGACAGCGACCAGGCTTTGGTGGTGGGTACTCTTGGAACAGTACCCCTTGCTGGGCGTGAGTGGCCCTTAGCTGTCTGCTGAATTGACAGCAGGTGCCTCCCTGGCCCCCTCCACATGCGGAGACCCCACCCCCACTCCCCAGGGTGTCAGGGAGGGTGTCCACACTGCTGGTCATGCTGATTTGGTCGGGGAGGGAGTTGGGCCACACCCAGTCGTGCTCAGGATTCACTCCTGGCGGGGACTGAGGATTCACCGGGGTCTGCTTCCTTCCCCACTGTAAACTCTCCAGCCCAGTTGGCACGAAGGGGAATGAGGGGTGTTGGGGTCCCCTCCACAGCACGACTCCACTTAAGATCCACTGAGGCAAAAACAGAAGGAGGCTCTGGGGGCCGGAGCCATGCTGCAGCAGAAGGAGTGTTTCCTTGCACGCGGCCGACCCGGGTTCGATCCTGGCACTCCAAGTGGTCCCCCGAGCCCACCAGGAGTGATCCCTGAGCACAGGGCCAGGAGTAAGCCCTGAGCATCGCCGGGTGGGACCCCAAAACAGAAAAACAAAACACAAGACAGGAGGCCCCTCCTCAGCCCTGCCTGAACAGAGACACAGATGAGAAAGGGGCTGGTCTGGGCAGTCCCGGCCCAAGCTTCTGGGGCAGAAGCAGCGCCCCCGCCTGGTCGCTGGGAGCACAGCAGCCCCAGCTGCACCCAGATGTGCTTCCCGGAGGTTTGAGTTCTGGGAAGAATCCCAACAGGTTGGGAAACGGCTCTGAGGGCTGAGCACTGAGCTGGGCACAGCCCCTGGGCACTGCCCACTAGACCTTGAAACAAAACCAAAAAAACAGTAAGAGAAGAACACGGGGAATCTGTGTGAACTCTAATGCTGGTCTTGGCCACAGGCACAGCGGGAAGGTCCCGGCTGCAGAGTCAGGAAGGGTGGACAGACGACAGCACAGGGACTGGGCAGGGGCTCAACTCCTGGGGTACTGGGCCAGGGCGTCCACTCAGATGCCTCGTCCTCAGTGCCGGGAGAGAGCATTGGGTGCGGGGCCAGCTACACCCCTCCCGGAGCCCACGGCCTCCTGGTGAGGTGGGACCGAGGAGAGGCCAGGAGGGCCTGCACAGCCAGGGCCCTCCCACGCCCAGAGGGGTGCTCCTCTGCCCCCCTGCCCGCTCGGGAGCTCCCCTTGGCGCTAGGGAGAGCCATGGGCCTGGGGCTGCCCTAATAGTACGTCTGGACACATCCCGATCACATGACTAGCAGATGGCAGAACTGAGCCCCGAGTCACACCAGGCACAGTCTCCTTGGGGGCCAGCGGGCTTCAGAGTCCCCTTCACACCCCTGTAGCACTGGCCACCATGCTCTGACCCCCTGTAGCACTGACCAGCACGCCCTGACCCCTATAGCACTGACCAGCATGCCCTGAACCCCTGTAGCACTGACCAGCATGGCCTGACCAGCATGCCATGACTCCCTGTAGCACTGACCAGCATGCCCTGACCGCCTGTAGCACTGGCCAGCATGGCCTGAGCCCCTGTAGCACTGACCACCATGCCCTGAGCCCCTGTAGAACTGACCAGCATGGCCTGGCCCCCTGTAGCACTGACCATCACGGCCTGACCAGCATGCCCTGACTCCCTGTACCATTGACCAGCATGCCCTGACCGCCTGTAGCACTGGCCAGCACTGCCTGAGCCCCTGTAGCACTGACCAACATGGCCTGAGCCCCTGTAGCACTGACCAGCATGGCCTGACCAGCATGCCCTGACTCCCTGTACCACTGACCATCATGGCCTGACCAGCATGCCCTGACTCCCTATACCACTGACCAGCATGCCCTGACTGCCTGTAGCACTGGCCAGCACTGCCTGAGCCCCTGTAGCACTGACCAGCATGGCCTGAGCCCCTGCAGCACTGACCAGCACACCCTGGGCCCAGCAGGGTTCTCTGTCCCGGGCAGTGCAGTGTGGCAGATGAGCAGAGTGGCAGGAGGTGGGCCGGGGTGCGGAGTGTGCCCAGCATGAAGGGCTGCGGTTGACACTGGGAAGATGAGGTCAGGTCAGGGTCACTGCCAAGTGGGAAAATAATTCCAGAAAAGTGGGCCGGGGAGACAGCCCAAAGGGTGAGTGCACAGGCTTTGCACGCAGGGGTCCTGAGTACTGTTCCTCCTGAGCATGGAGGCAGAGCAGTCCCCCAGAAACGAGCTGGGAGTGGACCCAGCCCCCACCACCCCCAAAAGATGCATCAGGAAGTAGCCGAGAGTGATCCTGATGGGTGGGCACACGGCATTTCTGGGCGGGTGGGGGGGTGCAGGCAGGCGTGGCTAATGTGGGGCTTTTCTCTGCCTCCCTGTCCCGCCCTGAAGCCCGAGGTGCCAGCCTTGACGGAGAGGGGCCCAGGCCCTTGCCCGCGCGCGGCGTGGCGTTCACTGTCATCCTCCTGGTCCCACTGGCACCTTCCCCTCTCGGCCAGTCCCACCCCATTCAGCGAGCAAGTAAGGCCCCTGCTCAGACGAGGGCCCAAACTGGAGCCGCAGCCGGGGGCCGAGAGAGCGCGGGGACAGCTAACGCTGACCGTGGTCAGGAGCCCGCACATGGGCTCCCCTCCTGTGGGCAGCAGCCTGAGGAGCCCAGAACGGGTCGGGGTGGGTGGAGGCCCGCAGAAAACCTAGCAGCGCCAAGACGGGTCCAGGAGTGTTGAGGGACGCCCGTCCTCGGCCCCAGGAGCCGACCTTGGTTTCAGGCCCCTGGGGGTCTCAAGAAAAACGGAAAGAGGATGTGAAAAAAGAGAGAGTGAGACTGAGGAAATGAGAGCTAGTGAACGAGTGAGACGGAGAAACAGAGAGAGACAGAGAGACAGAGACAGAGAAGATAGAGACAGAGAAGAGAGAGAGACAGAGAAAGAGCAAGACAGAGACAGAGACAAAGAGAGAAGAGAGAGAGACACAGAGAGGAGAGAGGAGAGAGACCCAAAGAGCAAGACAGAGACAGAGAGAAGAGAGAGACAGAGAAGAGAGATGGAGACAGAGAGACAGAGAGGAGAGACTGAGACAGAAAGAGACAGAGGTGGGGGGTTCCAGCAATGCCCTTGAACTCCCTGGAATGCACAGGAAATAAGGGATGTCATGGAGTTCTTGTCTCCGGTGGAGCCCCACCCAGCTCTGCTCCCCCCAGTCGGGGTTCTGAGCCCCCGAGGAGGCCAGTGGGGACTCGAGCCAGGAGGTGGCCGCGGCAGAGCTCTGCTTGGATAAGCTCAGGGGCGGACACTGAGCCAGACACTGTCCATCCCCAGGAGACCTGGCCCGGCCCGTGCCCTGGGTACTTACGAACACCTCGATGGTCACGGGGACGGTGCTGTTGAGAGGGGGGTTGCCGGCGTCCTTGGCCATGACGGTCAGGTAGATCAAGCCATTGGGAATCTGCTCGTAATCCAGGGGGCGGCTCACGCTGATCACTGAAACGGCGGGGCCCGGGGGCAGGTTCAGATGCTTGTTCAGGGCTCCCCAGGTGACTGGAGGTGGCGGCTGAACCCCAGGAGCCTTGTGATAAGGGTCTGACTGACCCGTGCTAGCCCCAGCTGGGAGCCTGCCCACCCGCTGGGCCTCTCCCAGGGGCCATGAAAGCAGCTCAGAGAGGTGCTGTGACTCGCCCAGGGTCACACAGCGACCTGACACGGGCTTCTGCAGCCCTAGGGCCCCTCTCCTGTCTGTGCTGCGACTGCACGTCTGTCTGTGTGTCTGGCCGTGGGTGTGAGTCAGCGTGGGACCTTCCTGGGCCAGCCCAGACCCTGTGCCCAGCGCCTCCCTTCAGACAGATGCAGAGATGGCCCACTTCCTGCCCAGGTGCCCACAGCCCTCCTCACTCTCTTCTGCCCGCGTCCACCCCATCCTTGCCCTCCTCCCCGCCCCTCCCTCTACCCTGGGCATTCAGGGCACAGCTCTGCTTGCAGGGCGTGAAGACCCCTCTCGCCCCTTGGCAGAGAACAGAGGGGGCTGGGACCTCGAACACTCCATCACTGCACCTGCCTGGGGTCCCCCGCCTCAGCTATGGGTGGCGTCTGGGGAGATGCGGAGGGCTGGGAGTGGGGTGTGGAGTGCCAGGCAGCCCGCGCAGGCCCAGGACGCTCGGTGGCAGCACCCAAGAGGGCCATGAGAGGCAAACCCGAAGGGGCTCCGCCTGCAGGGCAGAGCGGGGGTGGGGGTGAGTGGCCGGCCAGGACAGGGACCACCCACTACCCCGGGAAGGTATCTTACAGAGAACTGGGGTGGCAGCTTCCGGGCTGCAGCCACTTCTCTGAGGCATTTCTCGGACCCACTGTGGGTGGGGCAGGAGGAGGGAGTGTGGACCCCCGTGTTCTTCCATGCCCAGCTCTTCCCTCTGGGGGTCTCTTACCCTGCCGTCAGGTACCAAGGAGATTTCCCGCCAGGCAGAGGGCCATCCCAAGGCCGTCTTGAGCTGGCCAGGGGCCAGCACGCTGATGGTGCCCTCAAAGTTGCTACACTAACTTTTCTTTTCTTTTCTTTTTTGCGTTTTGGGTCACACCTGGCGATGCACAGGGGTTACTCCTGGCTCTGCATTCAGGAATCACCCCTGGTGGTGCTCAGGGGACCATATGGGATGCTGGGAATCGAACCTGGGTCAGCCGCGTGCAAGGCAAACGCCCTCCCCGCTGTGCTATCTCTCCAGCCCCTACGCTAACTTTTCTTGAGGTGGGGAGGGGCACTCCACACCCCGCCGGGGTGCTCAGGGCTTACTCCTGCTTCTGCACTCAGGGATCATTCCTGGTGGGCTCGGGGAACCAAATAGGGTGCCGGGGAGGGAACCCGGCTCAGCTGTGTGCCAGGCCAGCACCCTCCCTGCGGTACCCACCCAAACAGTGGCGCCAGTGACAGTGTGCTTACAGGGCCAGGGCTGGCGGGGAAGAACACACACCCGGGAGTGACTGCCGAGTGCAGAGCCAGGAGCAAGCCCTGAGCAAGCCCTGGGTGTGGTCCCCCAAAAAGAAAAAACGAAAGACAAAAAAAAAAAAACCCATAAAGTATGGCAGGGCCCAAGGTAAGGCAGGAAGGGTGTCTCGGCAGGAGGAACAGACCCCGCGAAGACACAACACACGTGCTGTAAGGGAGAGAGTGTCCAGGGGTCCAGATGCCGATTCTGCAGGGAGGAAGGTGCTAAGGGAACAGGCAGGAGGCGACCGAGAGCCCGGCCACTTCGCTGGACGACCGTGCAGGACGCTCCTGGCTCTGGGGCCGGGGAGCCACCTGGTGTCTGGGGCTGGATTCTGATGTTGCCCAGGGAGGAAGCAGGCTGGCCCAGGGCAGAGGGGACGGGCTCCAAGTGCAGGACATGCCCTGGAACAAGCTGGGCGCTGGAGGAGACACACGTGGGCTCTGGGGAAGGGGGTGCCCTTGACCCCACATTCACAAAGCAGCCGGGGTGCTGACTAGTGTGAGGCTGAAGAGGGGCCATGACAGGCTCCACTTTAAGACGGAAACTCACAGGGGCTGGAGGATAGCACAGCGGGTAGGGCGTTTGCCTTGCACGCAGCTGACCCAGGTTCTATTCCCAGCATCCCATAGGGTCCCCTGAGCACCGCCAGGGGTGATTCCTGAGTGCAGAGCCAGGAGTAACCCCTGTGCATTGCCGGGTGTGACCCAAAAAGCAAAAAAAAAAAAAAGAGAGAGAGACTGAAACTCAGTAGGCCTAAGTTCCAGTTTCCCCTATCAGAACATCCCGACTTCTCAGAAAACAATATCACCCTGGGCAGATAAACCGCCCCATGGCAGCAGCCTATCGGAGTAAGGGGCATAGGCAATGGCACCCAGCCAGAGAGGGAGTGGAGTCACAGGACCGGACACGGGCCAAGAACTGGAAACATAATGTTGGTCCCCAAAGTCACAGTGCAGACAGGGACCAGAATTGGAAACAGCTGCCAGTTCCTAGGAAAATGATGTTCTGTAACCAAACCCTATCTACACTGCTCAGAATTCAGAGTCGGGGTCCTTGTCAAGACTCCACTGCATTGGATGAGACTTGGACCCTAGATCGAGCTAGCGATAAAGGGGCCTTGCAGTTGCATCCTCGAGTCTGGTCTGGTCAATGTACGAGCGAAACTCCCTTCCCGGGACATAACAGTAGGGGGCTCAGTCCCCCCCAGACGAAGCCCTTTCGCACCTCCATAGCCCTCGTACACGCTGATGTCAAAGTAGCTGCCGAAGGCCGAGGCGTTGACGATGCTATAGGTGATCTGGTTGTTGGGCGGGGAGTCTTCATCTGTGGCCTGCGGCAGGGTCAGAGGGGCTCGGTGAGCCGCAGGAAGTCGGGGCAGGGGAGGGCTGGCCCGCCAGAGCCCCTTCTCTGAAGGAGCCCGGCCTACCCCGTCCGTGGGCTGAAGGGCACCCCATACCCTGCTTCCCCTTCCTGCCGGACAGGGGGCAGGACGCAGTTGAGGGGGAAATGGGGGTCACTCAAAGGTGGAGACGGGTGCGGCTGCTGACTCCTGGACCCTGCCTGCCCGTCACACAGCTGCGGGGCCTGACGCTTCCTGTCAGGTGGGATCACCTGGAGTCCATGGCCCAAGGGGGGCATCTGATAAACGCACTTGCTGGAGTGTGAGAACAGGAGGGAAGGAGGCGTTGGGAATGGGGTCAGGGCCCCCCACCTCCAGACCGCCTTCTGGGGCGGCTGAATCAAGGCTCTCCTCTCAGGTACACCTCGAGTCGTGCCAGCCTCCGGGATACCAAGGGGACCACAGGTGGAAATGACGTACCTGGGGACCAGGCCCCTCTGCCAGTCCCCAGGATGCCCAAGGGGACTGCAGGTAGAAGTGACGTAGATGGGGGCAGGGCATGACACTAGGGTCAAACCACATGTGTGCTGCCTTCCCCAAATCCTTTCTGCATTGGGGTCTCTGGCTTACTCCAGGTCCTTATTCCCAGAAGCCCTCAAGGGCTTGGCTGGGGGAGGGACCCCCCCAGGAGTGGTGGACAGATACACCAAGGGGGACACGAGGGCTGAAAGAGGCCATTAGCCCCGCCGGCCCTCAGGGAAGTGAGGTGTGCAGGGAGGGCCCCCAGCCCACTGTGCACAGGAGCTGAGTACTTCCTGTAGCGGCCCCTCGGCGGCAGGGGTAAGGAAGAAGGAGGGGAGGGTAAGGGGACATACAGGCGCCTCTCACCCGGAGCCGCACCAGCTGCGTGACCGAGGGCTCGTTCTCACGCAGGGCGCCCACGTACGCATCCTTCTGGAAGGTGGGCACGTTGTCATTCACGTCCAGCACGTTGATCCTGACCCGGCCCGTGGTCTCTTCGCCGCCACCGTCCCTGGCGATGATGGTCAGCGTGAAGCGCTGGATGAGCTCGTAGTCCAGGCGGGCGATCAGCATGATGAGGCCCGTGTCCTTGTCCAGGGAGAACCTGACGGGCGGGAGGAAGCAGAGACAGGCCGGCTGGAGCAGGCTGGGAGGGAGAGCGGGGCTTCCTCGGGAGAGACAGGGAAGGGAGGGAGAAAGGCCCCATCTCCTCTGCCCGACTGGACTGGGCCCTGAGCAGAGCTCGGTGGGTACATCAGCACACCTGGAGGCACGAGGTGGGAATGGAGGGGGGATGGAGGGGGAGGAAGGGGGGAGGGAGGGGGATTGAGGGGGGATGGAAGGGGGATGGTGGGGGATGGACGGCGGATGGAGGGGGGATGGAGGAGGGGATGGAGGGAGATGGAGGGGGGATGGAGGGGAATGGAGGGGGGTGGAGGAGGGGTGGAGGGGGGACGGAGGGGGGAGTGGAGGGGTGATGGTGGGGGAATGGAGAGGGGATGGAGGGGGGATGGAGGGGGTGGGAGGGGGATGGATGGGGGATGGAAGGGGGTGGAGGGGGGATGAGGGGGGAGTGGAGGGAAGATGGTGGGGGATGGACGGGGGATGGAGGGGGGATGAAAGGGGGTGGAGGAGGGGATAGAGGGGGTGGGAGGGGGGATGGACGGGGGATGGAGGGGGGATGGAGGGGGATGGAGGGGGGATGGAGGGGGGATGGAGGGGGATGGAGGGGGGTGTGAGGGGGTACGGAGGGTGGAATGGAGGGTGGAATGGAGGCAGGATGCTCTTTCTCTCCCTGTGAACCACAGCCTCTGCCTGGTCCGATTTCTCTGTTGGAGACCTACAGGGGGCAGAAGTGCTGCCTTTCCAGATGCTTCTGCACGCGGGCAGCAACGCAGCCAGCAGGGGAGGCCTGGCTGGCCCTCCCCGGGGACCTGCACCCACAGGCACCCCCTCTGAGTTTTCACTGGACATCCGTGTCACATGCCAACCTGGTCCACATCTGCCAGTCCCCAGGCCTGAGTCAGGGGAAGGTGGGGAGAGGGTCAAATCTGAGCTGATTAGGGCCCAGTCATGTGAACACACCGGCGCTGAGGGCCGGGTGTCCTGGACATTTACTCTGATGCTGGTTCCTTCCTCCTTCCCTCGGGCCCATCACGGCTCAGCAGAGAAGGACCTGGCACTCGACAGCCAGCACAGTGTATCACCCCTCCTCTGCGAGGGCTCACCACGGAGGGCCCTCCCTGGGCAGACAAGGCTCTTGGGCCCCAGGAGTGGCACAGAGGCTGGGAGGCGGGGTCAGAGGCCGGGGGTCAGAGGTTGGAACCAAGCCAGCTCTCACCGGTCAGGGTCATCGCTGAAGTAGTAGCTGACTTCCCCAAAGGTGCCCACGTCATTGTCTGTAGCCTGCAAGGGTAAGAGGGGGAGTCATTACATTCCACTGGCCGAGGCCCCGTCAGCAAACCCAGACTTGTCCACAAACTCTTTCGACCCAGGCGGATCTTTCTAGAATGCTGGTCTGTAGCACACTCACACACCCACTTAAGCCCAGCCACCTCCATTCAAAGGAGAAGGCAGCTCAGACCTGCAGGGCTGGGGCTGCACCGCCCTCTCTCTGCGGTCAGGCCAGGAGGCGTTTTCTCTGCCGGGCTGGGGTGTCCCCCGGGACTGGTGAGATGGGGCCACAGCCTGCCCATTTGCAGACAGGGAGGGCTGAGTCATCTGGCACTCTAGGGCGGTGATCCCGCCCCCCCAAGCCCCTGAGCTGGATGAGGACCCAGAGGTACCCCAGCCCCGGTGGGCCCAGGGACAGGCCACGGTGTGCAGAGGGCAGGCAGGCATCTAGCGGGCAGGTCCTGGGCTGGAAGGGCTGCCCCCGCCCCCCATCTCTCCCGAAGAGGGGCCGCGGGGAGCTGGGCTCTGCTAGCCGGGGGCCCTCTGGAGCCTCCCGGAATGGAAGCCTGGTGCTTCTCAGATGCCGGGACACGGGAACCAGGCCTGGCCTGGGCAGCAGGATGATAGCGCCCCCGGAGGAGAGCCGGGAAGTGCAGGCAGGCACCGGGGACCTCTGGACCGGGTCTGACTCCAGTCCCGCGGGAGCTTGATGTGTTAGTCCAATGCGACCTCAGAGACCCAGGCCAGCGGGTGCCAGCTTCTGATGCTTGCGTGCCAAAGAGTCTGGAGGGCAAGAGGCCCGCTACAGTGCCCACCGCTAGCTGCACTGCATGCCACCACCCCGGCCACGTGCCGTGACTCCCTCTGAGCCCCTCAACCAGGCCACGTGACGAGGAGGGAGACACTGCCCATCTCCCAGGGCAGGCCTGTGGCCCTGACCTTGAACAGGCCTGGTGTCAGGCTGGGGGTCACCCGAGCCCCAGCTCCTCTCAGCAGCCCCGGTGAGGCCCCCCTCCCCCTCCCCCTCCCTTCCCCGGGACTGCTCTGGCTCTGGCTGGAGTACCTGCTGGCTTCAAGGCCAGGCCCAGCTGCTGGGTGCCCCCTGGCATGTGACAGTCTCCAAGGAACTAAGTGACGGTGCCATTCACCCCGTAGGAGCGGGCGGCAGGATGAAGGGCTGGACTGGCCAGCACCTACGTCTGTGCCCTCCACACCCAGGGCTGCTCAGCCACACAGGAGTGGACCGGGACTCCACTGCCATGAGTAAGCGTCGGCTCTGCCCTGCTCTCTGACCTGGTCTCTGCCCTGCTCTCTGACCTGGTCTCTGACCTGGTCTCTGACCTGGTCTCTGTTCTGCCATCTGATCTGGTCTCTGCCCTTCCATCTGATTTGTCTCTGCCCTGTTCTCTGACCTGGTCTCTGCCCTGCCGTCTGCTCTGATCTCTACCTTGTTGTTATCTGGCTTCTTTTCCGTTTCGTGGCCGTCTGGTTTCCTCCGTGGCCCCTGGGTGGCCTTAGCACTGCCCAGCTCTAGGCGTGGGACTCACTCCCTGCTCTGCTCAGGGAAGCCTGTGGTACTGGGGGTCCCACCTGGGCGTCCTGCAGGCAACGCGTGTGCCCCCGGCCTCCACGGTGACACCTTCCAGGGACCCTCGCTGCCTCCCACCCAGGCCACTGCTGCTGACCAGGCTGTCTGATGACCAGATGAAATACACGTGCCTGGAGAGGGGCGGGAGTGGGCATGCTCACAGGCACAGAGAGGCCGGCAGGAAGATGAAGAGCCGGTGCCGGGTCGCTGCGGGCTGGGGCGGTGCCCACACACTGTCCACACGTGGGGGGCGGTGCCCACTGTCCTTCTGGGGGCAGCACCCACACACTGACCTCATGGGAACAGCGCCCACACACTGTCCTCCTGGGGCAGTGCCCGCACACTGTCGTCACGGGCTGGTGCAGTCGGGGAGGAAGCAGCAGAGCCCCCCGCCGCCCTGGGCCCGACACCCCCTGCGCCCGTAGCCCTGCTCTCCACTGCCTCCCCCTGCAGATCCCACAGCTGCCCCCAACATGCAGGCCCGCCCCCGCACCCCTCCCTTATGCCGCACCCTCCCCCACTCCTGCCTGCTGCCAGACCCTCCTTCCCTCCCCCCACCTGGTCGGACTGCCACACACAGGGCTCCCCTGGAGAGCGGCTCAGAAGCACCCCCACACTGCTCTGGTTCTGGCTGACTCCTCTGTGCTCAGGGATCGCTCCGGGTGGGCTTGGGGACCATATGGGGTGCCGGGGATCGAACGTGGACCGGCTTGCATCCTCCCTGATGTACTATCGCTCCAGCCCCCTCCACGTTGCTCTCCACAGCACTACCAGGGTTGGTCCAGTCAAACCCCTGACTCGGGGTTGGGGGGCAGGGGCAGGCGAGGCCTCTCAGGACTGCCCCCATCCTGTTCTCCAAGGCCTGGCCTCTCCAGCTTTCCATGTCAGAGCTGCTACTGTGCCCTGAAGCCCACCCCAGCTGCCCCTCGGGGAGCCCCTGGCCCCAGCTGTGCCCCTCAGGGAGCCCCTGACCCCAGCACCCCTCAGGAAGCCCCTGACTCCAGACATGACCTTCAGGGAGCCCTTGACCCCAGACATGACCTTCAGGGAGCCCCTGACCCCAGCCACGCCCCTCAGGGAGCCCCTGACCTGAGTCTGGCTGCTCCTTCTGGACACGCAGCTCCCGAACTGTCCCCCACACCCTGCTCGGGGCGTGTCTCTAACGAAATCCTTTCTCCAGCCAAAGAGCCACGGGACCTTGCTCCTGGGGGCTGACGGCCCGCGTCTGAGGGCACCATGGTGCAGGCGGTGGCAGGGGAGCGAGACTGATGTCTGCAGAGACTCTCGGGCTCTCCCAGCTCCCCTGCACCCACCCCCTTTCCCTGGGCAGGTTGGGGGACACACACTTGTGTTGGGACGCATGTCAGGGGGAAGATGGATCATGGAAGCGCCTTTCTGCAGACGGTGGCAGGACGCCTGTAACCATGAACCTGCTAAACATGCAAGTGTGTGTGTGTGGGGTGGGGCTTGCATCACACTGGGCAGTTCTCAGGGGCTACTCCTGGCTTGGTACTCAAGGGTCAGTCCTGGGGGTTCTTGAAGGATCATGTGAGGTGCCCGGGGCTGAACCAGGGTGCGGGGTGGGATGCAAGGAAAACTTAACCCCTGTACTTTCCCTCTCCAAACGCTGTTAAGTAATTGGCTGACCTGTTTATGCATCTATGTACCTATTAGCTTATCAACGTATTCAGGGCTTGGGCGCCGCACCGGGCCGTGCTCTGGGACGGGATCCGTGTCTGCTGCCTTGAGTCCTGTACTATCCCCCGAGTCCCAACTAAATATTTCTTTTCCCCCAGTGTGCCAGGCCCTGAAATTGCAGCCATCATCTGCCACGGGCCAGACTAGAAAGGGAGACACTGGCAGGAAACAGGGACAGATGACAGGTGAGGAAGATCCGGTTCACGGCAGAAACAGGGAAGGCCGGAGGGAAGGCTCAGAGACGGGGCTGGCAGGCCCCAGGGCGGCTCGGCTGCATCGTGTGGTCCTGGGGGCACTCTGGCAAAGTGTACTTGGGCCCCAGGGCAGTCACCAGCCGGACTCTGAGAAGCAGGAGCTGGAGGCGCAGGCCTGGGGTCAGAGCACTGGGCTCGGGGGCTCTGGCCCTGGGGGCAGAGAGGGTGCGGCCGGCCCCGATGAACCCCCTGATTTATAAGGCGCCTCCTCGGAGTCTCCCGGCACTGGCTTTCCCAGCAGAAACGAATTCCCTCATTTGGGCCTTTATAATTGCCTCCGCGGGTGCTTATTTCCGTGATGGACAACGCCAGCACAAGTGTAATTTTCTTTTGCTGACAAAAAGGAAGAAAAAAAAATACACACGAGGGGGGAAATTCTAAAGGTCAAGGCAAGGTGAGCAGCGCAAGGCCAGGCTGCAGCCCCGCTCGGCCACCAGGAGTGCCCGCGTCTCCCCGCTGGGGGCACAGTTCCCAGTTCCCGGCTGCTCCCCCTGGCTCTGAGGCCATGCCCACCCTTGCCTGCTGCTGCCCAGGCCATTTGCAGGGCCACTGCCCCTGCTTTACAGATGAACCAGCACACGGGAGCTCGGAGGGGCCCACCAACTTGCCCCCGGTGGAAGGCCACCTGGCTGCTGCCCGGTTCTGCTGGCCAAGGGGGCCCTCACACGGGCCATGCCCGACGGCAGAGGGGCGGGGTCCTGGTGGGGTTCCTGGGGTCCAGGCTCTCAGCTAAGACTCTTGGGCACCCACGCTGGTGCCTTCCAGAGACCCTTAATGAGGCACTATTCCCCGCTGCCCCCTGCCCCAAACTTGGAGGGGTTTGTGGGATGGCTCAGGACCTCATCTATGTGTGTGTGTTTGTGGGGGGCCACGTGCCGTCTTAGTCAACCCTGAGAGGTGTCCCCCCCACCCCCGGGCTCCCCAGTAGACCCTCGTCACGAGGGTCAGCCTTCACTGTGGGTGCCAGGCCACCAACGGTCACCACAGGGGACCCTCCTGCCTGGCCCCAAGAGCACCCCCTGACCCACCTGCTTCTGAACAAACGCCTCACCTCGCATCCTGGTCCATTCACACTCCCGTCCCACCTTCCTTTCAGGGTGCTCTGCAGACATGTGATCTGGGGTCCCACCTCACAGATACCCACCCACTGTGGGGCTTCACGCCCCCAATGCAGGCTGCACCATCTTCTCCCACGTGTCCCCCATACCTGGCCACTGCCTCCTCCTACGACAGTCCTGAGCCCCCCTGCCCTTACCGTCTGTTTGTGTTTAATTGGGGGCACCCCAGCAGCTGTGCTGGGGGTGGGGCTCGGGGCCTCACACTTGCAAGGCAAGAGCTCACCCACAGGGGCTGGAGTGATAAGACAGCGGGTAGGGCATTTGCCTTGCACACGGCCGACCCGGGTTCAATTCCCAGCATCCCATATGGTCCCCTGAGCACAGCCAGGAGTGATTAAAGGAAAAAAAAAGAAT